GTAATTGTTCTGCTCACAAAAGTTCCATTGAAGTTAATGGGAGTTGTGAGTAAAGATCATTTGCAAGAGCAGGTCCCAAAGATGTAGAAAAGGTTTAAAAAGACACCACGAATAATAAAACTAGGCACACAGATATCACTTTTCAGCTATACATCTAAACATACTTTACAAAGGCAGGTAAGTATAATTATCCCCATGTTCCAGATGGGAAAACTGAGGCACAAAGGGTGAAATCCTAGCCACATTGAATTCAATGGGAGTTTTGCTATTGACTTGAATGGGATCAGGAGTTCACCCAAAGCAAGCTGAAATGAATTGTCTAAGGTCACACAGCAAGTCAGTGGTAGAACCAGGTAGGTATAGAACCCAAATCTCCTTATTCTCTCACTCCAGTATCCTGCCCACTGGCTCTATCGACATGTGTACAAGTTCACGAGTATTAGGAGTTCATTCTTTCTGAAGCAGAAAAAAATGTATCTTTATATTTTAGAACCTTTTTTTCCCTCTTTCCCTTTCAGGCACCAAATGGTCTTCCAACGGTCAGCGGTTTTGTCTCAGGACCAACTATGGCGCCTTACCCTACACCAGCCCAAGTGTCCCCTTATATGACATACAGTGCTGCCCCTTCTGGTTATGTGACTGGCCATGGTTGGCAGCATGCTGGAGGCACTCCGCTCTCCCCTCACAACTGTGATATTCCTGCGGCACTGGCATTCAAGGGCATGCAGACAGCCCGAGAAGGTAGTCACTCTGTCACAGCCTCTGCTCTCTGATACGAAACTCATTCTAGAACAACTCTACCTTTTCCCTCCCCTCACTGGCTCAGAGACTGATCTTTTGTGTTGGTGACATTTACAGATTTCTCCCCATGACTTTTCTCCCACAAAATCTTTGGATTGAACTAGCCAAAACAACATAAGAAATGGATCCATGGGTTGTTGCCCTTGCACTGTTTTAAGTAAAGAAGATCTTACATCCCTCAAAGGGCTCATGGGACTTTCATTGGTAAAACCACCCATATTTATTCTAAGTCAACAAGAACTCTTTAAATGTGCAATTGTCGTTGAGATTGTGTACAAATCAATAAAGAAAAATCAATAGGGAAAGATATGCTATGCCTCTAATCAACAAAAGTGGCCAAACAGAAGTTATTTGCTGATGATCTGTCTCTAGAGAACAAATCATTTATCGGCAAGGTTAAGTGATCCACTGTTATTGTTAAGATATTGTGGTTTTTTTTGTTTATCAAATATAGAACCAAGGCAATATGTGGCTCTCACATTCTTCCTGTATTTCATCCTGTTACAAAAACAGTAAGGTGTTTTCATTTCTATCTATTTGTAAATATAAGCTTTGGACAGCATCTGTGTTTTCATTCCACAGTACATTTCTGCTACTTTTTTTATGTTAAAAAGTGACTTTCTAGGTCGTTTCTGTTTCTTGCTTGGTGTTGGCAAGCACCTCAGGTGACTGAGGTTGAGACAGTTCTTTTGGCATGTTTTGTGCATACAATGGAGGCTTCAACATCTTAAGAAAGACATTTTGTTTCTTCAGCAGAGGACTCAAAGGCAATCGACCAAATAACTCTCCCAGGTCATACCCATCTTCCAGAGTCATGACACAACCACACATGTGCCAAGTGTACAAAACAGAAGCAGGTGGAAAATAGCTGAACAAAACCAAGAACTGTAGAGGAAAGTGATTTAAAAGTTTAATGTGAAACTTGTGAAACTTAAAAGAATCAATTTAAGTTAACAAAACCACTGTGAAACAAAACTGTACTGTCATTGTTGGCTTCCCTGTGTTCAGCAATTTCAGCCCCAACATTATGTTGTAACTTTTTGAAAAGAAAAAGCTGTCTTAAACTTTCTGCTTTATTGAATGTAAAAATGGCTCCCGATAAAGTTTACATTGTTGTACATAAACGTGTTTCACTCGTAGGTATACTGGTGGTGGTCCGACAAATACAAATTTATTTAATGTTAAACTCCCTTTTGGCGTTTCTGTATCTACTGGCAAGCATTCTGTCCCAATGATTTTGCTTTAAATTTTTCTACTTGACACTAACCCCCCAAAAGCTAATATTTTGGTCTTTTCAAACTTACCTGTTTTCCAAGGGCAATAATAAAGTTCTGAATATTACTCCAACAAGTCTTCCACATGCTTCCAGACATGTGTGGAACACATGCATGAAAGAAAAAGATTTGAAAATTGGTGTGACATTTCATATCCTTAATAGAATATTAATATATTGTGTACTTTTAGAATTCTTTTGTGCAATAACTTAAAAGAACATCACTAGATATAGACTTTAAAAGACTGCATTAATTACATCATCTTGATTTCTTCTTAGATATATTAAACATTGCTTCAATGGCACGATAAAATCCAGTACCTACTATGGGAATTTCATGCTTTTATTTATAACTCAAATGGCCATAGGCAGATTTCCATGGCACTGTAAAGGAAATAATGAGTAAATAGCTACATATGCCATATGATCAGCAATCCTACACAGAGGTACATACTCTGAGTAGTTCATTAACGTCAATGGGATTGTTCACAGTGTGTAGGTCTTTGCAGGATCGGGGACTAACAAGCAGCTTGAAACTTTGTGGAAAGCTTTCAGAAAAACATATTTCCACAGTAACCATTTGTAATTTCATAAACAGAATGAGGACTACAGATTAGGAATAATCAGCATGGCAGATGGACTCTAAGGGCTGTAGTTAGCTTTGATCTTTGCATAAAAAGACAGTTGAATCATCAGGACTTCTACACACAGAACACAGATATAACCTGGCCCTAAAGAAACAAAGATCCTGGAATTCAGCAAAACATCCACTGATTTAGGCCCCAATTCAGCAAAGGACTTCAGCAGTTGTTTAACTTTAACAATGTGCTTAAATCCATCTCTATTCAGAAAAGCATTTGAACATGCACTTAATTTTAAGCACATGCTTAAGCCCACTAAAGGCAATGGGATTTAAGCATATTCTTAAGTGCTTTGTTGAATTGGGAGGGCTTGATTCTGCTCTCATTTGTACCATTTTTACATTGGTAAAACTCTAGTGACTTCAATGGAGTTATTCCATATTTATGCCATTGTAGCTCAGGTCAGAATCTCGCTCAGAGATCCTTAATTCCATGCTAAAGATAATGGTGTCTTAATTCCAGGCAAATTCCCTATTAAAAAACTAAAAGGGAGAAGAAAAAAATAGGGGAAAATGATTAACAAAAGATTTTCTTGGCAACATGTCATATTTTCCAAGTTTTTTAACTTTTAAACTAATTCTTAGACAAGATACTATAAACATTGAATTAAGAAGCCCATCTGTAATCAGCAACATACTAACACAAACAAGGCACAAGAAATGAAGACAAAAAGAGGAAAAGCCTTCCTGAACTACAGATTTTCCATCCCAAAGCATTAACAGGTCTGTGATAAAAATGACCCTGTTTCAAAAGGCTGATTCCCTTTCTTTTCTGATCCATAAAGTCCAAGATGGTGTCCCAGTTGAAATAAGAGTCTGCTTTCCTGTGACTCTCATGAGGCATGAGTGTGTCTTTAAATGATACTTAAAGGGTCAGATCCTCAGCTGGTCTAAGCTCTGTTGACTTCAGTTGAGGATATGGCCCAAAGTAATTATTCCATGTGTGGAAATGCAACTTTAATGCAAAGTTTTTTCCTGTATCTGCAGTCCTTTGTTTAGGGCCAGATCTCGGTACATTTACTCACTCTGAATAATACCTTAATCTGTGAGTGGGAAGTCAGTAGGACTATGTGTGGAGTAAGGTGCTACTCAAGGTGAGTAAAGGTATCTGATGTTAATCCTTATTGAGCTATTTATAATTGCTTCTTGGGGTAGTAGGGAGGTTAACATTGTTTTTTGATGTAAAATTACCATGCAGAATTTTCCTTTATCCAAGGACTTTTCGTACAGAATATACATATTGGTTAAACTGAAAGACTGTACATATTAGCTTAATGACCTAACACCTTTAAATCACTTTTAAAGACTAAATCCCCATTTTTATTTTAATGATAAATGGGTCAAAGTCTGTTCTCAGTTGCACAGATGTAAATCTGGAGTAATCCAAGTGGAGTTAATTTGGATTTACACCAGCATAAATGAGAGCAGAATTTAGTCCTCTAACAGTCAACAACATTTCCCACACTGTGCACATGAAGGGCCCAATCCTGCATTCTCAGAGTACCCAAATCTTTCAAAAGAGAAGCCTGGTGGAGCACCAGGAATAGTGAATAGTGTGGGCTTGAAGAGGTTAAAAAGACACATTTAAAAAAAAATGATTCCACGTTTTCTGCTAATGGTCCTCGTTTTACCAAATGATCAGGCTGAACTATAATTAAAACTAATAGATCATGTTGAAAAATATGTACAACAGAAGGCTGTGTATGTATATACTGAATGTTAAAAGCCTTTTATTTTTATATTTTGAATGCTCTAAATTAATAAAAGAATAATTATAATGTATTTGGTTTTTCTTTTTTCAAAATGTTCCAAGCACTATCTCTTACACTGAGTAAGGGCTAATAATAAAATGATCAAATGAGGAATACTTGCCTAGGAATTGTAATAAAATTAAAAAAGGACCATATCTCATTTTGTTGGCTTTAGCTACTGAAGTAACACAGCTTTGAGATGTCAGTATGGTCAAATCCAGACAAAAGAGACATTTTCTGTGTGCATGTCAGTACAAGAATGCTTGAAAATGCTGAGAATGCATTTCTATTCTAACCTTTTTCCGTTTATAATGCATTTAAAAAAAAAACATTGCAGATGCCAGACTTCACACCTGAGTTGTCCTTAAAAAAATAATCTGCAAAGATATTCTTCTAGGATTGCTGAAGAGAAAGTTTTGCAATTATCTAGAAGGAAGAACATCTAATATTAGCCAGTACAAATAATGTGTACAGTGATAACATAAATGTTTCCAGCCATTTAAAAATATATAGACAATAGTCAGCAAAACAGGACTAGATAAAGGTAATTGTTTATTGTGAACGAAATACAGCCCTTCTGGTATTTAAGAAGACAGCACTTGAACATCAACAGAGAGGTGATACACTACGTGAAGTTAGACTTTGTCTTCAATAAGCATGACAGAAATGTAGTATATCCTATTTCAAATAGCAATTGAAAATAGAAAAAAGTAGGAAAATATATTTGAAATATGAGCTAATTTATACTGAATATCTGGGAAAGCAAACATATTTAATTTCATAACAAAATTCAGTATTTGTTTTTCAGAAAGGCTTATGGTTATCAAATTAAGACTGCATATGGGATATCAGTATAGGACACTGTTTCTTAACCACAAGGGGGTCACGATAGGCAGTCAGGGTGGTCGTGAGGTGTTGAAACATTTATTACAATCTAAAGAAAAGAAAATCTTGATCCCCACTCCTCACCCACCTTTACCCTTCAAGGTCAAGTATTCTCTGTCAACTTCTCGAAACATATACACACACATATACACTGAAATGAATTATATAGGCTTACTGATATATTTTTTATTCTCACATTTACAGCAAATGAAAGGGTGTTCATGATCATTATTTCTCTTGTATCTTTTAATTTGATTTTTTTAAATCTGGAAATAAAAACACTGAGGGTGAAATGTTGGCCCCCACTGAAATCAATGGGAATTTTGTCTTGACTTCAGTGGGGCTAGGATCTCCCCTCTGAACATTTTTGTGAAATGTTCAGATGATTACTGTTGGGCAGGAGTCAATGGGACTACTCATGTGAATAACTGCTCACAATGTGAGTTCACAATCTGGCCTTATATATCCAAAATGAATTAAATTACCTGTTTGTTTGTTTATTGTCTACTTCACTGACTTCTTTGGTTGTTGTACAATTTTATGTGAGGACAGAATTTAGGTAAATTGAATTATGCTCATCATCTTTCTATGACCTGTTTGAAGTAAGGATAATATTCAATGTATAACTGATACTATGCAGAATGTTTGACAGTAGGTATTATTTGAGGTATGGGGGCAATCCATCCATCCTTTTCCAAGCATCACTCCCATACTGTGTTAGAACTGCATGATTGGACCCAGGATTTACTTCAGATTTGCAAAGTATGGGCCAGGTCCTCAACTTTAAAGTCAATGGAGCCATGACAATTTATACCAGTGTAGGATTTGGCCCAACATGATTAATGCACTTCTCCTGCTGAGTTCACCTATCAAGAAACTTAACCTGACATTTTAACAATCACTAGTTAAAAAATGGATGCATTTACTAAATGACATAATTTACTGCCCATTACATTTGGTTTGTTCTTGAGAAATTAACTTGTTCCTGTGTTACCTTTATATTTTTTCTTGATCACTGGGGCCCTGATTCAGCAAAGCAAATAAGCACATCAGTGCTTAAAGCTAAGCCTGTGCCAATGTGCTCTGCTGGATCAAGGCCACAGGGCCCAATCTTCCAAAGTGATGAGTGCCTTCAACTCTCATTCATATCAAAGAGAACTGTAGCATGAGTTCCTCTTATATTTTGCTTTACCTATGTCCTTTATATCATAACATGTGAAATTTATCAGGTATATAATTTCAAACAGTACATTGTTTTAGAAGCAGTACTTCTGATCACCAGTTCTCCTGAAGCCATGCATAAGCATATTCATAAACCAGAAGCATCACTGCACCACCTAGAAAAGAGGACATTATCTTAAGTATCAAATTAGATCCCTTTGATATTTTGCAGGACATATATAGTGTCATTTCTCCTGAACTGAAATTATAAATTGAAATATAATGAAACTGCATTAGCAAAAACTCTCTGGATTCTACCCAATCACCAGTTCTTAAACTATACAAAATTTACATAACACTGGAACACAAAGTCAATGTGAAAAGCTTGTAAATTAAATCAAGAGCACCCTTCCTTTTAAATGCAATTTTCTTACATATTTTTCATACTTTGTTCTAAAAATTTTCAGCAGATGTTTATTTTATTTTTTTAGCTATGGTACAGACAAAACTCTTGATCTGCAAAAAATATATATATATATATATATATATAGAGAGAGAGAGAGAGAGAGAGAGAGAGAGAGAGATTTGGACATGAAAAGAATTGAATGAAAAGACACAAATTCTTCACCAGAATTGTGAAAATCCTTGCAAGTAAGATTTGAAAAGGCTTATCAAATGTTTTGTTTGACATTTGGGTTGGATGGTTTAACAGGACCTGTTGTTTGAAAATCATGGTACTGGTATTGAATCTAGTCTTCCCATGGTTCTATCTCATGAATCCACAGGCAAAATGTGGGGTTGATGGATTGATATTGGTAGAATCAAAAGTGTGACTAAGCCCCAGTGCTAATGCAATGAGGGAACTCTGATCGGAGAGAAACAAGCATGACATTCTAAGACTGGGCTATAATTATTATGCAAGTTAAATAAATAGACCCGACACAGTTTCTAACAAGGGGGATTTTCAGAAGGCCTCTGCGTAGCCTCTGAAGAGGCCTATACATTGGGGAAATTATGAAAGATAATTGAAAGATTCTACCCAATACAAGTAAATGTAGCACAACCTCGACTGTAATAACCGAGTAGGGCCCAAAGCTTTTCTTTTTTCCCTAATTTTGCCTGTTGGATCAGATAGCTTAATTAGAATGCAGCATCTCTGAAAAGCCAAATAAAAACATCTTCTACTGAACTGAGTTGACCTTTCTGTTCCCATGGGATAGGCTCAGACAATCAGAGACATAGAAATGCCATGTGACTTGTCGCATGTGACTTAGTCCAGCGAACCATGCTCAGATTTGAAATACACTACAAATAGCAGCCTAATAAAGTTCACAGATAGCCAGACCGGGGGAGGGGGGGGAAGAGGAGGAGGAGAATTGCAAAAAGGCTTTCACAGACAGTTTGGCAAAGCCATACTAATTTGCAGTCACAAAAAGAACAGGAGTACTTGTGGCACCTTAGAGACAAATTTATTAGCGCATAAGCTTTTGTGGGCTACAGCCCACTTCATCAGATGCATAGAATGGAACATATAGTAAGAAGATATGTATATATATATATATATACACACATACGTACAGAGAAGGTGGAAGTTGCCATACAAACTGTAAGAGGCTAATTAATTAAGATGAGCTATTATCAGCAGGGGAAAAAAACTTCTGTAGTGATAATAGCTCATCTTAATTAATTAGCCTCTCACAGTTTGTATGGCAACTTCCACCTTCTCTGTATGTGTGTGTATATATTATATCATCTTACTAAATGTTCCATTCTATGCATCTGATGAAGTGGGCTGTAGCCCTCTAATAAATTTGTTAGTCTCTGAGGTGCCACAAGTGCTCCTGTTCTTTTTGCAGATACAGACTAACACGGCTGCCACTCTGAAACCTGTCATGTGCAGACGTAGTTTGAACTCACGCCAGGGCTGATTTCAAGTACTTAGAGAGTGTGAGTTTTTCGTACAGCTCTCTTACACAAACTATTTATGTTGTAGACAGATGGACTTACCTTTTCAGCCACAATTAAAATTGCTTTCTTATTTCATTCAGACAGCAAAACCTATATATTAGTCAATGGGACTATTCATGGGCTTAAAGTTAAGCACATGCTCAATTGCTTTGCTGGATCTGGGGCAGAGTGGTAGCACCTTCTGGAATCAAGTTCTTCATTATAAACTTAGCTACGCTGGCTGGAACAAGGAAAGCGGGGATCTTCCTCCTCCCTGCCCATTGTGGGGGCATTAAGCAGGAGAATGCTGTGTGCTCCCCTGGATTGTATCTGGATTCCCTGTGCCCCACCTTTCTATGAAACTGCACAAAGGCCAGGCACAGTCTAGCTCCTGGCTGGAGAAAATCATTTACAGGAACACGCAAGCATTTACAGGAAAATCTCATACATTTTTTATAATGAAAAACACGAAACGTAGGCAGAACAGATACTGTTAACAGACACAGTTACCTATTGGCTTTTAAATCTGTGTAACCTTGCCTATTAAACCACCTACTCCAACTGGAAACACTTGTTTACATGGGAATAAGATCCTGGTCTATTTGCGGTACCTGCACTCTCAGCCAGGCGTGCCCGCTTGGAATGGCAAAACTCGAAAGGCCCCAGATCTGTTCAAACTTACACTCTGTTTCCCATCATCCCTTACAGGCGCTGGAAGCAGAAAATAACTAGAGTACAGTGCACTTTGGCTCTGCCTCTACATGTCTCTGATTCACCCCCATGCTAGGCTGGTGTAGAGCCCTTATGCCCGTACTGACCTGGCCAGGGAGGCTCCCTGCAGAAAGGGTGTTCTCAGGGAGCCACTTACGCCAACTTTATGGCGCCTTTACACTATCAAAGAACATGAAGTAGCCTTAATGTAACAGAATCAGGCCCAAGGGGTGAGGGACTGACACTGTTTCTATAAGCATATCCTTCAAGGGTCTTCAAAAGTGTGCCTGAAAAATATGTGGACACATCCATTCGCACATACAACCGAACCTCCTTGTGCTTCATGATTTGTTCACTGATCAGGCATCTGCAGGCACCTAAGGTCATTGGGTGCACAGTATTCCAATTTAGACATGCAAATATGCTTTTTTGAGGGCAAATTTAGCACAACAAATCCAATTTTTTTAAACAAAAATAAATAATGTAAAGATTAAGGGCCAGATCTATGTACAGTATTTCATTTGTTTTATTGTTATTTATTGAGTCTTAAATTTAAATGGAAACAAGACACAGAAACAAAGAATAAAGAAGAGACAAAAATAATGGAGGCAAAATTACCTGGGCCAAGCCTCATGATCTTGGGAACCAACCCTTTGTACAAAGCCAGGAACCTGTAGCAGAAAGAACAAAAGTTTCAAACAATATTATTTTTCTACAAACAGAATGGAATTTTATCTTATGTTTGCTGAGATACTGGCATAGCACTTACATGCAATTATTTGGAATGACACATGTCCAATACCAGACAGTATCTGGATTTTAACATTTTGCAGAGGTAGATCAGACAAAGAGAAAAAGTTAATCAATGTTCAGTACAAAAGCTATGCTGTGATCCCTCCAATCAGAATCATGACTTTAATCAGTGAGATGCTTTTTACTTTCAAGACAAGTCTGTTAACAACAGCTGCATTACATGGATAAAATGACTGCTATAATTGAATATCAAAGCCACAACTCATTGCTCACTTGAGAAATATTTAAAAAGTTGGAGAAACTTATTGCCAAAAGGTTCTGTCCTCCATTTACTCATTTCATCAATCATTCTCAATGTATAACTGTATTCAGAAATTGCAAGTAGAGATTTTAACTGTGAAATGTTCTGTTGTTCTACTGATATTTTGCATTTGCAAAGCAAAGAGTCAGTTTTATCATTACCAAGCAAAAAATGCTGTGCTTGAAATGTAGTAGGCATGTATTTGTGGGACATAAATTTCAACAACATAACAGTAGTTTTGCAAATATTAAAAAAGAAAAACCCTATAGCTGAAATAGGAAGAGGTTTCTTCTTACATTTAAAATACATCTCTAAAATGTTACATTGCACTCTCTCAACACATAAGTGCAAGGTAGCTTCATGTTCCTCATCAAATCTGACATATTACAACATAGCTTTATGGACCCATATGAACTAAAACAGAGGCCTGGACATTTTAGTAAAATAAGAATGTTTTACCCTTCTTCCTTATAGACTGTTGCCATAGTTTTAAAACAGGTTCTATACTTGATCTCGCCAGGCTCTGGCTGTGGCCCTTGAATCCTACTTTTTGCAACATCAAAAGGGATATTAACCATTGAGGCTATTGTCCCTGAGACTAGCCCAATTCCAAATTTTCTCAAGAACTCCAAAGTTGGCTCCTAAAAAGAAAGAATGAATGAATGAAAAAGGAAACGGAAGCACCTAAATAGGTTAAACACTACAAAGTAATATGCATTTAATCAGAAAACTTGCACAACACGACACACTCATGTTATTCTAGCGGAACACATTAGGATTTCCTAGGCTGGAACTTGTTTTCTTGACAATCCTATTGGCTATGTTTTTACACATGGTCTAAATTGCTGAAGTACACATTTCCTCACACAGGATTTATAAACACAGTTCATAAAGAAAGACTGGTATGGCATATGGGGATGATTTGTATAATTGGGCTTCACAATGTACTTAGTATTACTGTATCAAAACAGGAGAAATCCAAGCACTCTATTAGCTAATTGGCCAGAATATTTTACAAATGACAGCAACTTCCACCATGAAGCCTACTAAAATGCTCATTTGTGTGTTGGACCCCCAAATGTTAAATTAAATAAAGGCTAATCTCAGTCTGCTGCCATTCCCCTCCAGGTTTTTTACATTTATTTTCACGTGTAGCTGATCCACTGTACTGAGAAGTGCTAGCTTCCTGTTATTAACAATCCAACTTGGTGCAACAGCAAAACAGCCTTCAACATTCTGTGCATTATAAACAGTAGTAACTCACTAAACTAATTGGCTGAAGAATTTACAACTCATTGTTTCTAAACCCTACTATTCTTTCATGGTAAAAGATAGAAACAGATTATAAAGCAGACCTTAAAACATTTTGTTCTCTCTCTGTTTGAGTCTAGATGATCCAATTGTGCTTTACTGGATTCCCTTAGAAAATCTTTCTACCTTGGCATTCTCTATGACATCAAAGTACTCAGTTTATTTGGGAGTCAAATTTTCTTTAACAAAGTCTAATCCCATTTCTGTGAACAGTGTTCATCACAGTGAACTCTGTCATAATGAATTTCCTAGGCTGTCCGTATAACTTTTTATGCCCCTGTTCTTCCATTCTACACCAACAGAGCAAAAATCCTTTTATATCATACCATGCACTGCATTCATGTTTTGCAAGAAGGCACTCAACACACAGCAAATCAATAGTAAAACAATATAGGATGATGCAATGTCATACATTCAGCTTAATATTAAAAATGCAATAATAATAAAATAAGAAGAAGAACAACGTTTCTTTTAAAGGTGTTGTTTGAGCCATACACATTCCTGAGGAAAAGAATTCTAAAAAGGAGGTACATAGTGGCCTTACATTTGTTACTGAACATAGGAACAGTCAATAGGTTTTCCTTTGCAGATTTGCAGCTAGGAAAATTAGTTAAAACTTCATAATATAAATTGGACTTCCACGTGTTGTAAGTTTAAAGAGAGGCTTTTAAATCAACATGGTGCTTATATTTAGTTACAGAAAAAGTAACTCCATAATTTCACAATAGAGGGCATTTACTTGGATAATCCCTTTTAAACTAAAAGTAAAACAGCTTTTGTTATAATTAAACATTACACAAAGTTCTCGCCAGAATGCTTAGCAGCAAATTATTGTCAAGACTATCTGTACAAATCCAAGCTGTGTGCATGCAATTACAATTAAGGCGGGGGGAACCCTGCAACATTTCAGGTTTTACAAAACTTCTAAAACCAACTGTAGCCAGGAGGCGACAAGTGGCACATTTGTATTCAGGGCTGTAAAACAGTCTGAAACCCCCTTTGGGGAGGTAAGCTCTTTGGGGCAGGTACTGTCATTCACTATATGTTTGCGTGACACCTAGCACAGTGGATTGCTATTCTAGGTGCTACTGTAATACAAATGTTAAGCAATAATAATTATATATTAAATGTTGAACCTGGGGCCAACTGCATTTGTGCTGTGTCCTGGCAGGTCAGCTCTTTTTGAAATGTTGAGCATTCTCATGTGTATTGGGGTGCTTTGAATTTCAGGGTTATATGCTTTGGGATTAATAGTACCACAGATGCCATGATGCACCAGAGTGTAAAAACAATGCAAATCTAATCAAAATATGACACTTTTATTTCAGAATAAGAGAACGCCTTGACTGAGATGATCCAAACTATTGAGGGAGACATCTAATTCAAAATGCAGCACTTCTGGATGTACCAATGGAATAACTGAAAAATCATATTAGACTATATTTGCCTGTCTTACCTCGAATACTAAATGTCACATGTATAATGGTGTTCAGAAACCAGTGTGGGAACCTGAACAACATGGGCATTCAGGAGTACTGCATTCAGAGACTCTGATTCTGCATCAAGCTGACTACTTGTGGAGAAAGGTCCTACTCAGTGTGGATAAAGATGACAGAATCTGTGCCAAAGAATCTTTAATTATAATCAAATCCTGTTTCTAGGCAAAGGACATGGACCTTACTGTAACTGTGGGAAGTGTTATTTTGTTATTACCTGTCTAATTGCAGCCAATATTTTTAAAATTGTCACTGATTTTGTGATTCAATTTTAGGGTGTTCCTCTTGAGACCCCTTGCTGATTTTCTGAGTGCTGAGGATAAACAGCTTAGAATAAATAATACTTTGCATTTACATAGTACCTTATATGCAAGGATGTCAACATGCTTTCCAAGCTTTAATTAATAATTTTTAACCCCTCTGGATTAAACTGTAGAAGAATGGTCTTCTGCTGTAAAGAACTATGTACAATTATGACAATATACATGATGAATAAATAGTAAGAATAAATTAGTATTACAGCCTGGTCTTTTCAAAGGAACCTAAAGGAATAATACACCAAACCCACTGATTTTCAATGGGATTCGGGCATCTAAGTCTCTTAGACTTCTTTGAAAATTCTAGTCATAATACTCAAGAGTTAAGTAAGACACAAAAGTGTTAAGTGATTTGAAATAAGTCATAAGAAATAAATACATAAACTAAATAAATTTGCCCCAGGTCACGGAGTGGGTCAGTGGAGAATCCAGGAATAGAATGTAGAGGCCAGACTCCTTCATTCTCAGCTCTATACATAGGACTACACTCCCTCTCTCTATATATTTACGACTTGGTGCTATGACTCTACTAGGGATCAGGATAGGTCCATCAAATTAATTTTCACTCATGATCTGATCAGGATTTGAATCAAAGTTTCTAGAGCTGCAATATCAGTACACTGACCTTGCACCATCTAATCACCGTTGCCTGACTTTGAAGGGAACAGCTGTAACAGCATGTCAGATTGAACCCACTATTTAAGGGAATTATTGGTATAAAAGAAGGAAGTTTTCTGATTTTTTAAAATATGAATGGACGAGACCAAATTCTGCATTGGTGTACACACAAACATTTCCATTGAGTTCAGAGGGATTGCAGAGGTATAAATCAGTGCAGAATTGCTAAAACAACTCTTCAAAGTTTTAAACATGTACTATATGTTCCAAAATTCAACCAAGAAATGAACCAATTAGGTTGGGAAACATTTGACCAACTCTGAAAAAAAGTTTTTCTTTAGTCTCTCAGATCCCTACCGTGCCCACCTTACAACATCCTAAATAATAGGGACGTAGCGTAATCTAGTGGAAAGAGCATTGCACCTGGGCAAGTCTCTGAATCTTGGTTCCCTTCACACCCTTTGTCTGTCTTGTGTATTTACACTGACACCTCTTTGGGGTACAGGCTACTGTGTGTTTAGTCAGACCCTCTAGGAACTAGTGGAATATAATAATAGTAAGTGAAAGCACCATGGAAGAGACTTGGTAACACAAGGTCTCCTACAATGCTCACTATTGCATTTCTATTTGCAATGAATGCTCTTGCTACATTTGTGCCACTTCAGAACCCTTCTTTGAAAGTCTCATTGCTAAAGTTGCTCATTTAAATTCTCTAAAATGACTGTAAAAATAACTAACTGTGTAAACAGATGTACAACAACCTTGGGGAATGAATGTACTGCAGATACAAAGCTGTTGTCACAATCCTCAGAGTAACATTTCCACTTGCTCCTGTGGTGGACAGCTGCAGCTTGCTGGCAATCCACTCAGCCCTGGTCTACACTAGGACTTTAGGTCGAATTTAGCAGCGTTAAATCGATGTAACCCTGCACCCGTCCACATGATGAAGCCCTTTATTTCGACTTACAGGGCTCTTAAAATCGCTTTCCGTACTCCACCCCTGACAAGTGGATTAGCGCTTAAATTGGCCTTGCCGGGTCGAATTTGGGGTACTGTGGACACAATTCGATGGTATTGGCCTCCGGGAGCTATCCCAGAGTGCTCCATTGTGACCGCTCTGGGCAGCACTCTCAACTCAGATGCACTGGCCAGGTAGACAGGAAAAGAACTGCGAACTTTTGAATCTCATTTCCTGTTTGGCCAGCGTGGCAAGCTGCAGGTGACCATGCAGAGCTCATCAGCACAGGTGACCAGGATGGAGTCCCAGAATCGCAAAAGAGCTCCAGCATGGACTGAACGGGAGGTACGGGATCTGATCGCTGTATGGGGAGAGGAATCCGTGCTATCAGAACTCCATTCCAGTTTTCGAAATGCCAAAACCTTTGTCAAAATCTCCCAGGGCATGAAGGACAGAGGCCATAACAGGGATCCGAAGCAGTGCCGCGTGAAACTTAAGGAGCTGAGGCAAGCCTACCAGAAAACCAGAGGGGCAAACGGCCACTCCAGGTCAGAGCCCCAAACATGCCGCTTCTATGATGAGCTGCATGCCATTTTAGGGGGTTCAGCCACCACTACCCCAGCCGTGTTGTTTGACTCCTTCAATGGAGATGGAGGCAACACGGAAGCAGGTTTTGGGGACGAAGACGATGATGATGATGAGGAGGAGGTTGTAGATAGCTCACAGCAAGCAAGCGGAGAAACCAGTTTTCCCAACAGCCAGGAACTGTTTCTCACCCTGGACCTGGAGCCAGTACCCTCCGAACCCACCCAAGGCTGCCTCCTGGACCCGGCAGGTGGAGAAGGGACCTCCGGTGAGTGTACCTTTTAAAATACTATACATGGTTTAAAAGCAAGCATGTGAAAGGATTAATTTACCCTGGCATTCGCAGCTCTCCTGGA